CTGAACATGGGCTACGAAAATTTTTCGGCCAAACCCAACTTTTTGGTCAAAAAATTCGATGGCATGAAATGTAATTAGGAAGATTTTATTTAGAATATCCCTGTAATCAACCACCTCGAAATCGCTTTTAGGCCACCACTCAGGATTTTTTACTTCATATTTAAAAGAATAGATTGGGGTATCTAGTTGGTTAAGGATTTAAGGATTTTTAAATAAAACAATAATAATTAAAAATTATAGTTTCTGTTTTAAATAAATTTTTAAAAATTTATTTAAATAACAATAATATTTTAAAAATTAAAAATATTATAAGAAATTAATATTTAAATAAATTGTAACAATTTAATATCAGTACATGTAATTTGTAAAATAATTTAAATTAAAAATTGTTAAATAAATTGTTAAAATTGTAACAACAGGCATATGTTGGGGTGGCAAAGGATTTGAATGCTATCGTTATTGCATTTCGGGGAACTCAAGGAAACATGTAATTTTTTTTTTTTTGGGGTCAAAATTGGGTCGAAGACTTGTTATGGAAACAGCTTGATCTAAATTACCCTGATATGCCAGATGCAATGGTACGCTTTGATAGCAAGTCTTTTATGAACTTGTAATAGATGTCTACATTGGCAGGTCCTGTTGGAAGTATGGTCAATTGAATAAGTCTTGCTGTTTGAATTAGTCTTTATGCTATCTTGTTTCTTAGTCAAATAGGTCATGATCTTTAGGAAGATTGGTGAGCAACGATTCCCGTTTCTTTAGCTTTTTCTCTGTTATTAATGTAAGGCTATATATAGCCATTACTTTCCATTGAATGAAGTATCTTTTTCAGCTCATCTCTTTATATCAAAGTAACATTTTATAGGTTCACCATGGATTTTATAGCGCCTACCACAATACAACTGTACGACCTGCGGTTTTGGGTGCTATAAAACAGGCAAAAAAATCCAATGGGGCGAACATCAACATCATGGTGACTGGCCATTCAATGGGAGGAGCCATGGCTTCCTTTGTGGACCAGACCTAGTTGTAATCATCCTTGACTTGAACTAATATTTTGATATCTTATGAGTATGTCAAATTATCAACTGACTTCAGTGAGGTGTAAATTGCAGGTAAATGAAGGAGAAGAAAACATGCAGCTTTTGCATCTTATTACAGTTTGCTTGAGCCTAACACCTTCCGTATTACACCTCAGAAAACATACCACCCTTTCCCAACAGAGGTAACATTGTCTTTTACAATTTTTATTTATTTTTCGCAGCGTCCTCCGAAGCACTTGATGTTCATCGGAGTAACTATTTTGAGATTTTTTATGCAACATTTGATCATGGTGTTTCTCGGGTTGCAGGTGTGGGTGAAAGAATTCAGTTATTCGAATCTTGTCATTGATGGTATGGAGAAGGTTTGTGACAACACTGGCGAAGATCCTACATGCAGCAGGTAAACTAACTCTCTTTCGGATAAATACACCTTAAAGTTTCATGTTTTCACTTAGGGACCAAACAAATTTTACATGAATCCAGTATAATTCTTGGTTCTTGTTGTTTCAGATCAGTGAAGGGAATTAGCATTTCTGACCATTTAAGGTACTTTGGGGTGGAGTTAAAGGGTTAGACTTGGAGACCATGCAGCATAGTGATGAGCCATGAGATGGAGAGTTATAGCAGGAAAGATTCAAAAGGTAATTGAAACGGAAACTCTATTCCTGTCGAGGCGGGCAGTTCCTTCCACCGAGGTAATTGAAACGGAAACTCTATCCAGAACCGGATTCTATAGTCTATATATAGGAGTCGCACTACAAGAAAACAAACAGTATTCCGACGGAATTTCCGACGGCCGAAATTTCCGTCAGAATTTTCCGACGGTATCCCGACGGATTTCCGAGCAAAATGAATCCGTCGGAATTTTGTGACGGATTTCCGACGGACACGGAAACCGTCGGTATTCCGTCGGAAATCCGTCGGGACAAGACGACAGATTTCCGACGGAAATAAACTGTCGTAATTTTCCGACGACTTTCCGACGGAATAACGACAGAAATCCGATTTTTCCGATGTCGGCAAAGTTTGATTGGTCAGCTCATACCG